GGACGGACGGACGGACGGACGGATGGATGATGGAGGGAGGGAGGCAAGAATGGATAGCTGGACAGTTAGTTGACTGGCTGGATAGCTAGCTGGACATTTGGCTGGACAGAGAGATGGATTATGTGCCTTTAAGTCAGTGTGGACTCTATGGTGGTTTATTCCACTGATCCTGTAAACCATGAGTACTAACTACTGCATGCTGAGCTAAGATATGGTTGGTTGAAAGGCTCAACACTCTAAAATGTGCCTTAGTGTAAATTTTCCATCCACATTATTTTCCATCCACATTAGGGACTTCCCACTGGAAGGGACTCCTAGGTGTTTTTCTTTGCTTCTGCAGATATTCCAAGCTGTCGGATCCTGCAAACTGGCTGAATATTAATGCCACCAACGGTCAGATCATCACTGCAGCTGTCCTTGATCGCGAGTCAGCCTACGTTAAGAACAATGTCTACGAAGCCACATTCCTGGCAGCTGACAACGGTAGGCTTGAACACTCCACTCTTCATGCTTCAATAATAATCAGACGCATTCACAGAAGTAATGCCCCGACACAGTTGTCAGTATAATTTAGATGTTCCCATGTTTTCCTAGTTCTTTGGGGGGGGGAGATCTTCATGAAGTTGAGTTAGGACACTGCCAAAAGAAATGAAATGTGTGAAACGTTCACAGGTTACAATGGAAAGAAAAACTGGGGAGAACAGAAAGGGAACGTAAGAAATTAGAAGGTTTTTCTATATTTATTTGTTAAATTCTATTTGTTAAGGATAACCCAAAGGTACTTTTTTCAAAAGGCAACTGGACTTCATTTTTCCTTGAAGACGTTTTGCTTCTCAGCCAAGAAGCTTCTCCAGTTCTGTCTTTACTTCAGCCAACTGAAGAAGCTCCTTGGATGAGAAGCAAAATGTCTTCAGAGTAAGATTGAAATTTGCTATATCCTGATTTAATCAATCAATCGGAAGAGAGCTGGAAGGGACCTTGGAGGTCTTCTAGTCCAGCCCCCTGCTCAAGCAGGAGACCCTGTACCATTTCAGACAAGTGGCTGTCCAGTCTCTTCTTAAAAACTTCCAATGATGAAGCACCTACAACTTCTGACGACAAGCTGTTCCAGTGGTTCATTGTTCTCACTGTTAGGAAGTTTCTCCTTAGTTC